CTGCTGGCAAGAAGCGCTATGCTGCTGGGCTGCGCTCAACTGCACTTGATGGGCACTACCATCGCCACCAAGGTGCCGATCACACGTCCAGAGTAATGCCCCGGTATGCCCGGGGGCAGCTCGGCCGCTAGTTACGGTGGCGGTCGCGCGTCGCAAACTGCCTTGCCCGTGTGAATCTGACCCGGCGACAGTCCCTCCCGACCCAAGGGGACACAAAGGGGGCCCCCGCTTCGGAAGACGAGCGCACGTGATGGGCGGCTACTTGTTTACTGCTGTCTGCACACGCACCCGCCGACAGGACCCTGGCGGGGCGGCTGACAAGGGAGTGCGCAATCGCCCCCAGCTGCTGCTGCTGCTGCTGCTTCTGCTTTTACTGCTGAGGGACCCCAGGGCTGGGGAGAGCTCGGGGGGGGGGGGGGGCAGAGATTTGTCATTGCGCAATTGCACGAGCCCAAACCGTCAGGGCTAATGGGGACCATCACCGCCGGTGCCTCTGCTGCTGCTGCTGGATGGACGGAACAGCAGCGCCGGCCTGGCTCACGGCCAACTATGTGCCACCTCCTAACTCCCGTGCCGTCTCCAACGCCCAGCTCTCAGACGTCTTCTTCTCTGAGCTTCGTGTCCGCTGGACGCACAAGTCCCATCTTCATCAAACGAGGGGCTAATTTCATTACAAGGATTGCTTTACACCACATCCGATATTTTAATGAGGGCCCGATCTGCCACTTGAGGCATGTCTCCTTGCTGCCTTCTCTTGGAAGCTTCGGTGGTGTGGTTATCATTGAGGTCGGCAGTTTATTGAAATAATATGCGCCATTGGGGCAAGGCTGGCTTCGTGGCTCTCCATCACTTGTCTCATTAGAAACGTTTATAAATAAAAAAATATTAAATAAATATTGTATGAACGCACATTTTCTTCGTCTACGCATATATTGTTTAAGAACACGTTTCAAGCCTCTCTTTGTCCAAAAAAGCATTTTTGCTACATTCATGGGGAAGCCGATAAAAACCGTCGCCGTCAACGTTAAACGCCTGCAGTCACTGCACGCGGCCCGCAGATTTACGGGCCGCGTTGCAGTCCAGTCGTTGAATTACGTCAACGCAAACTGTATTTTCGTTTACAAATCTGTAAATCCTGTTGCACTCTCACACCACGGTGTCCAAAACAAAGCTTTCAACAAAACAGAGTGCATAAAACATCACTATAATACACACTGTAATGTTTATATCTTTTGTGGCAACGTTAAAAGGGCACCCTTCCAAAAGTTAATCTGGCTTTCTCTCTCTCCCCCCCCCTCTCCGACTCGCAATGCTTTCCAGCTGATATAATGCGCACTCCTTGATCAAGCCAGTGAGGAAAAAAAAGAATCCGCAGAAAGTTCCGCAAAGCATCCAAACCATATGCTACAGGCCTTGGCTGCGAGCAACATCACTTCATCGGTACCTTACACTCAAACCCTCTCCCGAGGAATCGGCCCTTAACTTAATCAAGATCTGCACTATGATCCTTTTGATTTTTTTTTTCAAGGGGAATGTTACTCAATACCCACACCCATTCATTTTCGTATTATTTGGCTGACCAGTTGGCAGCAGCAATGCAGAAAATGGGACCCAGATAGATGTTGTGCGTGCCACGACTCGGCCTTTCCCTGCATTGCGTTCGCCCATTATGCTCGACAATTGCGAGTTTTGTTCGCGTTTGCTGCCTACTGTGTACGGACGGCTACACAAAGAGGCGAAAAGCCATTCGTGGAACTGTGCACGATACAAAAGGGCAGCTTGTTTGAAGCGGTATCAGCGCTTCTCGTTACACGCGTTGCACATTTTAAACGAACACATACGAATGATTGTTCACGGTTAGCGTCGCAGAAACTGAATTAACTTTATGCGCATTTTGATTGATTAAAACGTTAATCATACATCCATCTTAGCATACGCACTTAATTAAATACATATTAAACGCCAATTATTAGTCTAATTAATCTTCATGCAGTGGCGTGGGTAAATATAAGTGAATTAATCATTCGTAAGTTCTATGAACTTGATATGCATTTTGTGAGGAACGATTTACAGGGGTCTGTGACATTGTGAAATTGAACAATAGCAGCTCGACTCCACGGACCCCCTCACCGAGCAGGTATGGCTCCATTGCTTGTTTGCCCCCGCCCCCCATTCCACATGACTGAGCCGTGACCTCCCTCTGAACTTTGTAGATGACCAAGGCAAAAGAAAGGCAAGGTCAATTAAAGGCTTACATCCAGCAGTTGCTGCGAGCCAGAAGCCACACACATGTGCACCTGCATTTAATAAAAAAAGCACGGCCCTTCAAAAGAGACAAACGCGTTTACTTTGCACTGTGGTCTGATCTTTTTTTTTCATATTTTGTGCCGATAAAAAATTCAAACATTTGTTTCATTGAAAGTCGTAACGACGAACGGCCCACGCTACAAGTCCGGACGCATTCCACTGCGTCGTGCGGTGGGAGATTTGGTGTTTGATTTTTGTTTGATTTTGTCATAACAAATCAGGATCAAATGTGCACTGGGCACACTTGATGCTGTAACACACACGCATGCCCCCCCCCCCCAATGAGTTTGTATGCTATTAGGCTCTCATAACACGCAAATGGGTTTACACACTTTCGATAATGTCAGTGTTACTACTGCCATTCCGGCTCAACTTTTTGCGCATTTGCACGTATTCTTCAACTTGCAGTGCCCGAATAAAGAAGCCGAAGTTCATCGGGGTGGATATATATGTCCCTCTTCGAAGATGTTTCACGGTCATTTGTGTGTGCACGTATTAAAAAAAAAGTGAAATATGAATATGTACACGCAAAGAAAATCCACTAAAATCCACAAAAATATTATGTTCAAATCGAAATGTATATATGTTGTTAATCTTTTCCATACCACGTATTCATTTTCTCAACAATAACCCAATCCTCAAAAAAAATATTAAAAGATATATCTTCATATAAAAACACAATCAAAAGATTATTTCATGACGTGACACGTGACATAGGAGAAATCAAATCTCTTCCGCAGGCATTCTTCAACACATTGGATGGATTGCAGTGAGATTTCCGAATGGATTCTTCAATCTCATCAAACATAGCTGGCACAATTGTAAAACAAATATTGGTGTGGGGGGGGTAAACAGTGGTGAAAAGAGAATGGGTAAAAATTAAACAAGACGTATCGTGATTAAGATTTTTTTTTTCAAATGTGAACCTTCAAATCTATATTAAAAACTAATTTATTTAGATTTGTTTTTTTTTTCCATTTAGTTTGTTGTCCTTCCCCCGCAACTCCGATTAGCACGGTTGGCTAGGTACGGTGCGAAAGAAGTTCAACACACATACAGTGAGGGAACAAAGTATTTGATCCCCTGCTGATTTTGTACGTTTGCCCACTGACAAAGAAATGATCAGTCTATAATTTTAATGGTAGGTTTATTTGAACAGTGAGAGACAGAATAACAACAACAAAATCCAGAAAAAATCATGTCAAAAATGTTATAAATTGATTTGCATTTTAATGAGGGAAATAAGTATTTGACCCCCTCTCAATCAGAAAGCAATCAATCAGATTCCAAACTCTCCACCATGGCCAAGACCAAAGAGCTCTCCAAGGATGTCAGGGACAAGATTGTAGAACTACACAAGGCTGGAATGGGCTACAAGACCATTGCCAAGCAGCTTGGAGAGAGGGTGACAACAGTTGGTGCGATTATTCGCAAATGGAAGAAACACAAAAGAACTATCAATCTCCCTCGACTTGGGGCTCCATGCAAGATCTCACCTAGTGGAGTTGCAATGATCATGAGAACGGTGAGGAATCCGCCCAGAACTACACGGGAGGATCTTGTCAATGATCTCAAGGCAGCTGGGACAATAGTCACCAAGAAAACAATTGGTAACACACTACGCCGTGAAGGATTGAAATCCTGCAGCGCCCGCAAGGTCCCCCTGCTCAAGAAAGCACATATACATGCCCGTCTGAAGTTTGCCAATGAACATCTGAATGATTCAAAGGACAACTGGGTGAAAGTGTTGAAGTCAGATGAGACCAAAATGGAGCTCTTTGGCATCAACTCAACTCGCCGTGGTTGGAGGAGGAGGAATGCTGCCTATGACCCCAAGAACACCATCCCCACCGTCAAATATGGAGGTAGAAACATTATGCTTTGGGGGTGTTTTTCTGCTAAGGGGACAGGACAACTTCACCGCATCAAAGGGACGACGGACTGGCCATGTACCGTCAAATCTTGGGTGAGAACCTCCTTCCCTCAGCCAGGGCATTGAAAATGGGTCGTGGATGGGTATTCCAGCATGGCAATGACCCAAAACATACGGTCAAGGCAACAAAGGAGTGGCTCAAGAAGAAGCACATTAAGGTCCTGGAGTGGCCTAGCCAGTCTCCAGATCTTAATCCCATAGAAAATCTGTGGAGGGAGCTGAAGTTCGAGTTGCCAAACGTCAGCCTCGAAACCTTAATGACTTGGAGAAGATCTGCAAAGAGGAGTGGGACAAAATCCCTCCTGAGATGCGTGCAAACCTGGTGGCCAACTACAAGAAACGTCTGACCTCTGTGATTGCCAACAAGGGTTTTGCCACCAAGTACTAAGTCATGTTTTGCAGAGGGGTCAAATACTTATTTCCCTCATTAAAATGCAAATCAATTCATAACATTTTTGACATGCGTTTTTCTGGATTTTGTTGTTGTTATTCTGTCTCTCCCTGTTCAAATAAACCTACCATTAAAATTATAGACTGATCATTTCTTTGTCAGTGGGCAAACGTACAAAATCAGCAGGGGATCAAATACTTTTTTCCCTCACTGTACGTACATACATACAACGCATCTTAAATTGCCACTTTCAATATACCTACCAAAAGCAGTAGCAAACACAAGCGATGGCTGCGCCATAGGATGGTGCACTGCGGTAGCTGCCGCAGCTGCAGCAACCGCCAGTGAAAGGGCGCGTGCTCCTCTTACCTGTGTTGGAGTAATTGTCGAGCTGGTGAGGAATCTGCAGTGTGAACGTCAGGAACTCTGACGGTGGCACCGCCACGGAGCCCAGGCTGTGCGGGTCGGACAGCCAGTCCGGCCGGTGCAAGCGACGCGTGTCCGTGGGGCCTTGGAATAACGGGATCGCCGCTGCATCTTTGGCACCTTCCTCTGCTTCCGATTCGGACGGGGGGGGGGGGGGGCAAAACGACAGCGGACAGGAATTGTCGTTAAATTGGCCGACCTTGAATTCCAGAGGGGGTGGCATTGTGATCCGGAGCACCTGAATTATAATTGGTAAAAAGGCTGCACGTCCAAAAACCTCGCCTGAAATTGACTCGGCCTGCTACCCCCAGAGTGTACCACTGTGGTGGAAGTCAACAATAATTATTTCACAAAATGACAGACCCTGGCAAAAGGAATGTGGAATATACGTTACTAACTATGGGTTGACATCAAAGATAAAGGAGATGAAATACTTACACAAGCAGGGAGACGTAGTTTACTTTTGACATAATTCTTACAATTATTTGCAGCGTTACGTGAATGAACAGTGCCAGACGTTACATTTGTCTTCATCAATCGTATACGTAGCCTGCTGGGCCAGCTGTGAAAGCACCGCAGTGAAACTCCTTAAAAGTGGAAGCCGTACCGCTTCTCAGAAGGTTAATCATCTTTCCAAGCACGGAAGATCACATCGAGGTTCTTAGCCTTAAGCCCGCGGGGACCTTCAGGGGGCTAACCTTTTTACACAAAATTTCCACCCGTATGTAGATTAGATATCCGCTCACGTGTGCATTATGTAATGCATGCTAACATGCGTCTGGTTATTGGCACACGGTAAAAAAAACCTGGACTCCTGGTGGTCCCAAAAGTTTTGAAACCTGCAGCATTCCACACTTCCAAAACAGCCTGCGGTGGGTCAGCGTTGGGCACGCCACTCACGGCAGAACGCGAGCTAAACGGCGAAGATGGGGGAAACAAAGCCGAGCAAAGCAAGCGAGATTCCTGCACGAGAACAGCCCAAGCACCCTGATTTGAGCCCGAAGTGATCGCCACCAGAGTGTGTACGTGAGTATTTACGGTGAATTTATTTCGCAGCGGACGGAGTCAACCGTGCTAATCGGAGCACAACAAACTCAGCACAAAAAGCAGTTCTAACGTAATGGGTTTTCAATCTAGATTTGAAAGTGCACAGCTCGAGTGGCTTCCTAAGATCGGACGGAAGAGCGTTCCAGAGGCCGCAGAAGCGCGTCTGAACGCGCGCGATGCGTTGATCGTCTTTGTTCAATGATTAGCCAAAAGCCGCTGCTGCGAGGATGACCGGAGCTCGGGTGATGGTTTACGCTCCTTGACGAGATAGGTACGCTAACCAATAGCAAAGCCAAGATTTATACAAGCAAAAGGCTCGAGCTGGATCATCTGCTGTTTAATACAGTATGTTATTAGCATGTAACAATTCACACGACTCCCCCACTGCCAAAGAATTAGACGAGACGTCATTACTCGGGTTCGACATTTTTTTGTTCAAGAACTGACACTGTCTGATTTGTGTCTCATTTCAACCGGCTTCTTTGTTCCGTCTCATCTGTAGAGCTATGCTCGTTTCATCAGTAAATCGTAATATTCAAATGATTGACGAACTTTCGAAAGCCAACAACAATGCAATTCTCGCACCGCACACGTCATTGCGCGTACTGTGAAGCGTAAGAATCGACGAACCAATGCGTCCTGACATGCCTAGAAACATTGGGTTTAATGCCAGAGCAGAATACAATGTCCCCCCCCCACCCCCCACTTTGCACTTATATGTGATGGCCCAAAGCCGAGCTCTTGAGCGGTCGAGAAGCAATGGATAGCGGTGGGCACCGCACGTGGTTAAACTCACCTCCGCTAGGCCGCGATCAAGCGAGGAGACATGCGCGCAAGACACTCGGCGCATCCGTCCTCGTAACACTTCCAGATGTAGCGTACGTTTGTGGACGTATTTTACCACGAAGCCACGAGTGTAATGAGGACTAATGCGCATTTAATAGCTGAGCAGTCGTCAAATATAACTACCACTAACTACGGTCACAACCGGGGGAGGGGGGGTGGCTTCACAACTCATGTACACAAAACCACAAAGTCACAATGCAGAATGACTGCAAAGAGCTTATGGTAAACATTCAGAAATAATGAACGACAGTTATTTTCTTTTTTTAAGTCGAAAGAACACGGAAGATAATAATTATCTTATTGCAAAAATTTCTTCTCCAGGCACATTGGCGTGTTGCGTTTCATTATAAATTTTAGTTTTCCGAAAAAATTTAGGAAGACAATCTGATGATGATGATGATGATGCAAGCAGTGATGGAGAAGGAAACCGGCACAATTTGGACATATGTGTAGGATGGACAACAACAGAAAAATTAAAAGTGTGTTGTTGTTCGGACAGATGGAAGGAAACGGAAAGAGAGGAAGACCTCGCAGAGAATGGCCTGATGATGACGACGACGTCACAAGAGATCGGTGCCAGGAAGACGTGGGCACTACTGGGGCATATTGGCACAAGGCGGAGGAGGAAAGTGGAAACAAATGACGAAATGTGGACACCTACAGGCTATCTGCGCATGGATCGTGGTGATGATGATGAAAAAAAATCACTCCATGTTTCTCATTTTCCGCATATTACTCACTGTGACGTACGCATCAGAAACAGGGACGCTGACAAAGAAAAAACGGAGCAAGAGCTGAAAGTGTGCCATCAAGCACGGTGCGATGATGCGCGCTTGAAAAAGACACCGAGGTGGAAAGAGGAGCATGTCAATCGTGCAATTAAAGGACATTATGGAGGCATCATACAGACTTAAATTCTATGGGTGCAATAAACGTTTGTCCATTCGTGCTTATATAGCATATCAATGTTTCAAATCACCTCTGCAACCACTAGAGGCCCTATCATTCACCGCCAGTGTCAAAATAACTAAAACGGATCTCGAATCGACTGCAACCCAGGGGGTGATTCAGTACAACCCTATACACCTCCCTACCGTCAGAATTCCAAGGCACATAATATAATCATTATCAAGGCCTCCTCCCTCCCCCCCCCCCTTTTTTTTAAGAGTAACCTATTGCACGAATATTTTTTTTTACTGTCAAAAAAATTGTACTATGAACTCTGTGCTTTAGGGGGGGAGGTCTTATATTACAACCATATATATCATAACTTTCAGGAGGTCTGTCGGCTGAAACGGCAAATTATTTCCTTTCCATCTGATTCCCGGGCAAATTATTTTCTTATTATGTTGCTTAAATAACACGCGCACGTACGGTTTCAGAACTGCACGCACGTGAGCCGCAGCTGCACTTCGATGCTATTCAAGTTCAAATCGTATCGAATTGGGACGCTTTTGTTTATCACGCTTGTACTATATAGCAAAACCCACGGCACTGATCAAGGCACATGCAGCGAAGAAACTGGCTCGTGTGCTGGAGCTAGAACGACTGTTGTATGAGACCATGACAGATGGAGACGGCTTGGGGACATTAATCCAGCAGTGGACCGATCATGGTAGCTGCTGCTGCTGATGATGATGATGAAAGGTGAGTTAACCCTTTCCCGTTTCGAGGCGTCCGCAAATTTGCAGGGTGGGTCCCCCGTTCACCGCTGAATCTCGGAGCGTTAATTGTATTTCGAGAGGCATAGCGCCGCTGTTTTTAAAAGACACTGTACTCACCGCAGAAAACTGTAGCGACACGACCGCGCTCTACAATAGCCGGCTGCAACCTGTAACCAGCAAACTGTGCCACACTTCCTCCCGCATGGATAACGTATATGTGTACGTCATCCGAACGGAATCGGAGGAAAAACTGACGACACACACGTACGTCATTTGAACGGGTAAAAGTTGACATATCGCTGCCTTCCTCTTTCCATGCAGGAATGCACACACCACTGCGTCGTGCGTGACAATAAGCTAGCCGGGACGCCACGGCGTCAGCGCGCATGACTCCCAATCGGAAGGGCGCAAGTTTCCAATCCCAGTTAGGTGTCCACCCCAAGCCTTCCTCTGCCGAGAGTGGATAAAATAAGTACCACTTTGAGGGGAACGTCAAGTGGTTGGCTTATAAAAGGACCCATCCCCAGGGTCAGAATCTGTATTTATCCTGGAGAAATCCGATGAGCTATGAAGCTCTTTTCTCACAGATGCAGCACAGGAATGTGGAATTTGCAGCACTGGGTCAGGGCTGTAAACAGGAGATGAGTTCGTCACCCTCTGCTCGATTGAGCAGGAAACCACCGAGACTTTTTAAAATTATTATTATTTTTACTCTGTCATAAGTGTGTGAACAGCCCCAATGTGCTATTGCCACTTTAGAAAATGTTCTTAGAGCCCTTGATTTTTTTCCTAACCCTTGAAATAGCCCACAAAAGAACTAGTGAAACTACACAGAGCGTGCTGGCTACCGAACAAGCGTGCCCGCTGAAAATTGAACTTGAGATGTTTTCCAAGTGTACCGTTACCCTTTTGATGCATGGGCACGGCGTTTGGAAAACAACAACAACATCGGACAATCGAATGTCTCTGGCGCTTACGTAACCGCGATCGGCTCGCCACCCGTGGACATACACAAGCACGCGCGCAAAAAAAACAAAACAAAAAAAACGCCACTGCAGCTCTTGCGTCGCGGGAGAAAAAACTTAAATAATAACGGCGCATTATTGCGAACAGCTATATTTTTACGGCGACAAAATCAAATAAATATACTTTTTTAAAAAGTTATGCACAAGGGGTATTTATAAACCTTTTTCTTTTTGGCCACTGTAACCATGGGGAATTATGGCACTGTTAAGAGGCAATTATGAGAGGCAATCCACTGCAAACAGCGCAGCCTTTGGGGGATCAGGTATGAATGGAACTAAAGTGCCACGGCCAGCAATTACACTACTTCTGATGCATTTCACACAGGTTGCAAAATACCTTATCTTGACTTTGGGCTACTTGTTAGCGTCCTCCGAGACGTAAACAACAAACAGGGCTCTGCAGCTCTGGCAAAAAGAGGGCTTTGTTGTGCCGTGTTTATGACCATGTGCTAATGGAACTTTAAAATTCCATGCAATTTCACTTATTGCTGCTCAACCCCAGAGGCAAGCCACCTGGTTCAAAAAGAAGTGCCGGCAGCCCCGCCAC